CATCCAATGTTAGATCTTTATTGTGATCAAAGTCATCTCCTGTGGCAAAGTGTATGGGTTGCAGCTCAGCCACTTCCTTGGTGGTCAGGAATGCGGGATGGTAATTGCCTGAGCTGCTTGTATATGAGAATAGCCTGGTGAGTGTATTGGTAATGTCTCTAGGCGAATGTAAATTTGATGATATTTTTTATTTTGATATTTTTTAATTTTATTGACAGTGGACCAAACCTGTCATATTTTGGTATTGATATTGATTGTAGAGACAAAGCTCTGCCAGCTGTCTCTTTTTGCTTGACTAATTGTTCTAAGAGCCCTAGCTCTTGTTAGTTTATAATTGCAAAAATTCTCATTGGTAATGTTATTATTGAAAAGCCTATAGGCCCTATTGTATTCACACAGTACCCTGCAGCCATCTGGTGTCCACTATGGAATTCTATGCTTAACGCAATCTGTCGAAGTCTTAGGAATGGATATCACTGCTGCATCTAATATACAATTTTGAACTGTTTTCTTTATCATCCATGATTTCTTCTAAGAGTTCCAGCTTGATGCTCCTTGTGAAGGCGACTCAGTCTGCCCTTTTTACGTTAAATTTAGGTACTGTCTCGCATGAATATTTGATACAAACAGGAAAATGTTCGCCTTCCAATGCGTCGGTGTGCCACAGGCACTTGTCTGCTACTGTTGAAGAGACCAGAGATAGATCAATAAAGCTCAAATTACCGGTATTATCGTCCACCCGCGTCGTACTACCATCGTTCAGAAGGATTAGATAGTCACCTCTGTAAAAGGGACATTTTGGTGGGTGTACATGGCGACTCCGCCTCCACCCCTACCTTCTCGATCCTTCCGACACAGATGGTAGTTCCTTAGCGAAACTAGGTCATTATACGCTAGGTTTGTTAAATGAGTCTCTTGGAGAACAATAATAGTGGAAGCAAAAGACGAGGCTATTAATCTTAGGTCCTTTACTTTAGTTCTGAGACTTCGAAAGTTTCATTGCATAATGTAACAGGATTATGTTTTATGGGGTTTGGAAGTGCCTTGTCCGCCAGTTTTAATCTTCTTTTTCTGGAGGAGGCTTGTCCTCTTCTCCCTGCCACCAGGGCCTCCATGGTTATTTTGGAGACATATAGCCATTATGTCTGGGTCTCGCTGTGTGCTCAAGGAGCAGACAAAAAACAGCGAAGCCCCCAACAGAGCCACCAGAATAGAGGTGATCAGATTGGATTTAGAGCTTATGTGATGTTAGGGAGAATTACAGGTTTTATTCATTCTTCAGGTGCACTCAGGCCAGACGACCATCACGGTATAGAACACTTGGAGCAATATGTGTCATGTCATGAGTTCCAGTGCAGACGAGTAAATTAATCATTATAATATCATGCTCAATTATTTAGGCGATAAAAGATTCCAACAGATAGTTATTATTAACCTATAGAATTTATTGAATCATGACTCATTAAGAAAGTCTTAAAAACTGCGATTAGAATGTACTAATAAAAGAGAGACTACCATCTTCAAAAAAATTTCTCACAAAAATAACAAATGAACTCCACTAAAATTGAACAATCAAGCCATTTTGAATGAATAAAAGGAGGTTAACAATAATCAGAAAAAGCGACATAAGGCTTTCATTCAAAGCATCTGACAGCCTTGCATTCTCAGGTAGAAGATAGCACTTCACGACAGTCGTTGGCAGAGGATTCCGTTGTTCGTAGAATTGATTTGTCTTAGGAGTCTCGCCCTCTTCCTGAGTAACCGAGAGATCGATCATACTGGGCATCTGACCAAGTCCGACCCCTGGGCCCTTTCCCATTGCCCCAAAGGTACCAAAATCCCTTACTAATTGTTATCAGCCTATCAGCAGTAGCCAAAAGAGAGTCTGCACTATAACGTATCTACCCCCCCTCAGATGTAAGGCTGATGTGTTCTCCAGTACACACAGACAGATCGAGTTATGTGGAGACACTTCCACTAAGCCGAACTTACCGTTACTGTTGTGGGGGTCATCTCTGTGGAAGAGAAAGGAGACCGATGGGAACTGCAGCAAACACATAGCAGCAATAACACACTAGTCCGCAATGTACCAGGAACAAGGTTTGACCCATCCTTCTGAGGCGTATAGAGAAGGACCATCTACTGAGGCATCAGAGGCTGGAGCAATCTGGATTCACTCCTGGTAAGTCTGCAAT